AGTCTCCAGGCGTTCCCTCGCCCAAAAAGAGACGAAGCCCTCTGATAATGTCGCAGACAGGTCATGGTCCAGGCCTAAGAATAAGCGCTTTTCCTCAGCATAATAGTATTTGATTGAGTATACTGAAAGCCCACTGAGCCGACCCCCGGCTAGATGACCAGTCCTGGATGGAGGCATCATCGAAATAAAGGGATACCAGCACATAGCATAAGCGGCGGCCGAGGGCCTCAACCAGGCGACTGTGTCGATTGAATGATGAGCGGGAGGCCGAATAGGAGACCGGCATAAACTTGGAAAGCTGGGGCAGCCCATTCATGGTGCCAAAAAGTCACGATGCATCCTCGTGTCTCGGAAGTGCCCATGGGACTATGGCGATAGGCATCCGGCCAGTCTTCCCCGCCTGATTCGCAGGCGTCCGTTGCGCGAGCGCGAGCTAGGTCATGGGCGCTCATGCCTTGCAGGACTTGGCAGATGTGCTGCGCTGGTCGAAGTGGGGAACATAGGACCAGTTTGTTGGCGTCAGCTGATCGTAAGGTCTGGCCTCCAACATCGGCATTATCGATGACTCGCTGTTTGCCTGATGACTGAGAGACTGAGTGACCACACAACGTGGAATCAGTCGGAAGGGCTGGTCCTGCAAATACTGGCGCAATTGGGGTGATGTCAATGGGGGTGAGCAGAATCCGCGAGCTGCGTCCTTAGTCGACTGCTCAAGGAGGAACTTGTCATCCTTGCCTGGTTTCAACATGGAAATCATCTGGAAATTGTGCTCTTCCCATCCGGAGAGGACCTCAGTCAATGTAATGCGCTCAGCAGGTTGTGAGGGGAAGATGCCATAGCATGGTGCATAGCCCACCGCAGGGAGCCCATCAATGAAACGGATACGTAATATCTGGCCAGGAGGTTCACAGAATCAGTAACGCCACGAAAGCCTAAGTCCCGAGAGGCTGTAGTCGCTTGCAATGAGGCATGCTGAAATTGTCGCAGGCGGCGTCCCACCGCACACCAACGACGCGTGAGCTCTCGCAGTGCCCCCACTGCTGTCCGACGCAAATCCCGCAACCGCCCGCGTTGCTGTGCGCGGCAATCCGCTGCAAATACAAGGGGGTCAAGGTCCAGGACAGCTGGCAACTCAGTAGGGAGCAGGTCGCGACCTCGGTGCAGAGCCTGTGCGAAGTGCTCGTCTGGACTAAGACCATACGAAAGGAGTGGTGCAGCACGTTGGTTCAAAGCTCCCACCGGCTGTCCCTCAGCAGTACGAAGAGTTTGACGCACTTGAGCATCAGCCAAATGAGAGGTCCCAGAGGGCCACGTCATAGGCCCGATCACGGAGCCATTGCGAGAATGCCGTGAAAGGGGCGGCATTAATGATGTCCTCAATCATAGTAGGGTGCTGGATATAGCTTGCGGAAGGCTAAAGTGAGCGCTTCCTGGCTCCACCAACGTGCCGGCGAGGCTGGGATGCCTTGCGCTGAGCCAAGCATACTGGCCGTAATCACTCGGGGTGCCTCCGCGGCTAAAACGTTGCATGGCTTGTCCTCCCGGGTGGCTCGCCTCGAAGCATAAGCCAGCAAGCACATCAGCTTCACAAGGGTCGCAAAATGGGCAATCACACACCAACACCTGGCCATGGAGTTCGTGCAGGTCATCCACTAGTTTGGAGTCGAAGATGTGGGCCACATAGTGCCAGAGCCAATCGTTCGACTGGCTGTTCAACCCTGGTACCACCGGGGATGCCCACTTCGTCTTGGCCAAGCGATGGGAACCACGCCCCTGTCCCACATAGAGATGGTTGGGTGGCAGGCGCCCCCGCTCCAACAACACATCCTCTACTTGAGCTCGCCTCGGGATACGAGCAGCCTCCTCAGGATCTGGAGGATATAGGCCTAGGCCCAATGGCAAGGGCACCATGGCCCACTCCCGTAGAGCTCAAGGGTCGAGATCAAGCCAGTGTTCTCGAGCGCCCACACACTCGAATTGCGGCATCCGCGGGACGTGTAGTGATGCTCGGCCGACTCGCACTGCCCACCACGATGCGGCAACCACGATCGCAAAGGCGAGGACAGCGGTATACTCGGCTTCTTCTTTGGAGGGATAAACTGTGTGGCCGTCTTGAAGGTAAGGAGTCCACTCCTGAGGTGCATGAGAATGGTGGCATGTCAAAGGCGGCCAATGGTCAATCTCATCCAAGTTGCGGCGGAGACATTGTGCCTTGCACCGTCCTAGGCAGCAAGCATCATAGAGCTTGTCGCGCCAACGGGCGGACTTCATCATGGATACCTCGGTGGACCCCCACCAATGAAGGCTCCTCCATGGATTCTCCCGGACGGACCCCCCGCCCCGTTCGTCCAATAGCCGAATCTCCTCCAAGATGAACTCACATGCTTGGTTGTCTGTACGAACCCGTTGAAGATCACGTCCTCGGAGAGAACAGCCGAAGGCTGCACAGATGAAGTCCACATCAGCCAATAATTGCTCGCGTAATGACTGCTGGCGGGGCGGGTTGGATAGGTCGTGGGACTTGTCGAGCATCCAATCCACCGAAAGGGTGCGCCACCCGCACCAGAGGAAGGCTTTGGATAGTGGAAGATTGGGGCCACAAAACAGATCGGCAACCAAGGGACGGGGAGCATCTGTGTCCCTTAAGGGGGAAACCATCCCATCCTCCCCCTCAGGCCTCCAATCATTTCTTGCCCCCACGGCAAGCTGCAGCACCATGCCCAGGTGCTCCGCAGGCTCGCTCTTTGCGCAGAACCAGCCCACAGCGGTGCTGTCCATTGGCGCAATTTGCCTTCGATTTGCATTGGCCGTGCTGGAAGGCCTGGCAAAGCCTGGCGCCGTCCATCAAGATCTTGGCAACCTGGCGACCATTGATGGGGTTGCCCAATGTCCAACGATTGGAGTCCGGTTTCCCTGGATACCGGCGTCCTCGCCTAAGGAGAGTTTAGACAACCACGGTTGAACCTTGTCCTCACTCTCGAAGAAATAGCGAAACTCCTCGAGGTTTTGGAGGCGAGCCTTGACAAGGGCATCGGTTACCGCTTCAGCAATGCTGAAGTTGATCCCTAGCTGGCGAAACGTAGCCGCAGCATCTGCGCCGTCACTCGGCACGAGTTGCACGCTAGACGCCATGCGGGGACAAGGGACCCTCCCTAGATGCGGTGAGGACCCACCTCACAAGTAAGACCCACGAGGACCCACCTCGCCTCTGTTGGCCGAAAGGAGCTGAAGAGGCGGAGATCCGAGGCACGCACAGTCAGGCGACTCGTACAGCGTTAAAATTCAATGAACAAACTCAGCAAGACATCTAACTGAAAAACAGGTATGTATCCCTGATCCCAGGGTACCACAGCGTCACCGCCGGAGTTGGGACATCAGCAAAACCCTTCACTTGCGGTGTCGCGAACACAGCTGATGACACAGCATTCTTTCCGCAAGTGGCGAGCTCTCCAGTCGCCTCGGTAGTCTACACATGACGCAGTCTACAAAAAGGGGCGTCTACGGAGGCTGCCTGCTCTTATGGATGCAGCCATTCACAGATCATCTAATCTGCAGGCTGCTCAACAGCTCAGCCCCTCGTCTGCCAGGACGCTGGCGCTTTGCCCCAGCACTGTTCGCACACGGGGCGGGCGAGCGTACTCGCCTCCAAGTAGCTGTTGAAGAAGTGCCGCTTGAATGCACAAAGCGCAATGCGGCCCTCAGTGCAAAGGTGGACATGGGAATGGTCCGACACCAGATATCCAGCTGGTCGAGGATGGACTGGTGGCAAACCAAGGGTGCGCCGAGTGTTGTAAAGCCACTGTGCCGAAGTTCGATCCCGGTCGAAGCTTGGTGATCTCGGCAGCGGCCTCATCCACCGAGGTTCCCATCAGCAAGGCATAGATCAGGGCACGGACTCTTGCTGCCCATCTGAACCTTCGCCACGAACGCCCGTGGCAGTACTACACCCTCCCCGACCCTCGGGGTATTGAGGCAGACAGGCGATCTGTAGGTTCGTCCTTGGGAAGTGCTGGACTGTTTCGGCGATAGGGATGCCACGAGCGCCAGCGACACGAGCAAGGCTGTCCTCGGCTCGCCGTAGGATGCACTCGCAGTCACTCGCATCAGCTGGAGCATCTGCTGCTTCTGCCGCTTGCGAACGGCGCGCCATGGCTTGAGCGCTCACTATCGTCATCAGACGAAGAAAGTTCGCGGCAGGCCGGACAAATCTGGAGCACAGGAAAACAGGCGGTGCACACTCCTTTGATACAACCAAGGCACTGCCGATATGTAGGATCACCACAGCCACAACACGCTGGAGGGAATTCCGTTTCTCCGTTGATTGAGGATCCCAACCATCCACGAAGGGCTATCGAGCACGAATCTTCGGGTGAAGGGCGTCCAAGTGGCGGGGCAGCCTCTCGATGTCCGGCAACGGTGCACGAAAGGGGTTGGACCACAACCCATGTCGGGATCCCAAGAGCCAGTGCCGCATGTAATGCAAAACTTCGGACTGGAAGGTCTGTGGGGGCAAGAGGTCCAAGTCACCGGGGACCTTCTGCATGAACTCCCATAAGTACGATGGCACAAAATTGGCAGCTGAGTATGGGCCGCGATAGGGCTGCAGAAGTAGGAGGTCCATGGAGGCATCCAACCTTGCATGCCTGTCCCAAGCCTGCTGAGGGGTGAAACCAGATGGCACAACTGTCCCCGCTGGTTCCAAATCCCGAGCCACGGGAAGACGTAGCCCCCTCGCCCCTGGTCACAACGTGGGCACACACTCTTGGCACAGACCGAAATTCGCATAGGGGGGAACCTGCAGGCCCGTACCCCGGGCGGGTAGAAGGAGGCATGTGCTCGAACAGGACCACCGAGCCCCAAAGCCGCAATGCGCCTGCCCGGTCCCCCCGGGCCAGAAGAGCATCGACCTGGCGGCGGAACTCGAGTAACGCGGCGGCCGAAAGTACCTCAGAATCAGTGAACATGGCGACATGCACACCGACGATATGCTGCGAAGCCATCCACAGCAAACACAGCAAAAATCAAGCAGAACAGAAACTCCACTGTCCCACTTTTGGTTTGAGCCAAAATGGACAGTGTAAAACATGTAATGAATACTGTGCACCCAAACCTGCCCAAAGCTCGACACAGTTTTATATAACCATGCACTATCTTCCTTTTGTGCATTGGTCGGTTCGCACGTTGCATAGCCAAACAAGAACGGGACAGCAGCATCCCAAACTGCCTCGCACCTTTTTGAGAGCGCTGCAGCCCATGACATGGATTTGAAACGGCTTTATATTTGTTATGTTCTACAAAAAGAGATCAGTGGCTAGAGCGCAGTGGACGCAGCAAAATTAACCTGCTGAGAAAGGTCAACGACATGGCACACAGAAGAGCAACATCCAACAATACTAAGTAAATCTAAGTAGCTATGGCTGCGCTCGGGATATCAGGAAAATTCGCCATCCGTGGCTGAGAACTGGCACTTCAGACGCGTTCCTGTCAGAATGCACTGTTGCATCATATGCATCCTACCAGCCTTGTGTAAGCCTATTCAGCCTCATCACATCACCCGGTCCTTGGCCTGCCTACTTCTGCAAAACCATCTGGTTGAAGCGTTCCACCTAGAGCAGGGCAAAAACGGTCAGCCCAACAGGCCCAACATCTATCACGATTGGAGGTGTGATGCGTCGTCCCTCGTCTCTCTCGTCCCTCTCCTCCCTCTCGTCCCTCTCTTGCTTGCATCTTCACATGTTGCCCAGAAACCCAGAATGGCGTTTGTATTGTATCATGGCCAAGGCAAGATCAAACACAGTAGGCTATACCGGTGGCAGGACACAATTTGCTCCACAGCTACACATGGATTTGCTGCATCTTGCGGGGGCAACGCAAATCAGGAGATTGACTTCCCGTCAAAGTTGGCAAACGCCCACTGGGGAGCGCCTCTGCAGCGGAGCCAATTGCCAGCGCGGTACGCTGATCAACTGCTGTGATCTTCCTTGGTCCACATGCACATGGTCCCTGAATCTTCAGGATTGCACCACCGGGCTGTCTTCATCCTTCACTACAGGTACCACCAGATCTTTAAGACGTCTCGTCGCCCCTAAAACAATCCCAGGCACATGTCCAGCACGCTGTTGCCGGAGACACCATCCGAGGTCTTCCCTCCAGCCATCTCCACCAATCGCCCGAATGGGGCCGCCTCGAAGGCCAGGCGCAACTTTGCAGGAGAGGCCTGAAAGCAAAAAAACGAACGGACCATGAGGGGTCCAAAAATCAACCCCCAACCGAACGATACGAGGAACGAAACGAAAAGGAACGAAGTAGCATTCAGCATGCTTATCTCCTCCAGGGTGGTATCATAAGTTGCGACCCTTGGGGCACAAGAAAGCACCTCAACTATCAGCATCAATTGAGGAATGTAATCAGAATTACGGTCTACGAGAGTCTGCGCGCGCCATAGTAGGGGCTGTTCTGGAGCTGTTCCTTTTGATCCAGTCTATATGTGTAGTACAAGTAACAAACCTCCTGGACCTTACCAGTCGTGAGGCCAGATGAAGCGGCATGGCCCCTCACCAAAAGAACGCGGCTCTTCGGCCAAACGCATCCTGCCTTGGATGTTGGGTTGGTGAAAACGCCTTGACCCTTGGTGAATTGCTGGCACACATCGGGCACCAAACCACCAGTGTAGCGCAAGGTGAACTTGTTGGTCATGTAGTGATTGATGAGGTTGTTGTAACCTTCAACCTCTCAAATGACCCTTTTTCACATGTTTTTCACTACTTATTACATATTGAAATCATCGTGCTCTACACAATGCATTGGTGATTGTGTGGTCTCTGGTTCCGTGACAACTATCCCGTCCTCTTGGGCGGCGCGCATGTTTGCAGGGGCAAAGATCTTGCACTCGGTCTTGATGGAAATCTTGTCCCTGGAGCAAATCCACTTGTTTCCATCTCCCAGCGTGAACTCGTAGACGCCATCGTCCAAAGTGATGAAGACCGTGGTGCGTGGCCCGTAGAGCGTCACAATGCTCATGACCTGGTCACGTCCCGTGGCACCAATCAGCCCTGTGGACTTGTCCCAGACACCAATGATGGTGCCCACCGCCCAGTTGTTGTCCACAATGGAACTACCATCCAAGGGATCCCAGCACAGGACATACTGACCATCCGCATTGGTCTTCACAATTTCCGGCTCCTCCTCTGAAGATGCCTCAAAAACATTCTTGGAAGTCTTGGCCAAATCCCACAGAAGGTTGTCGGCAATGACATCCACAGTGAGCTGCCTGTCTCCAAAAGCATTGGAGGCATCATTCACTGTCACCAGGTTAATGCGCAAGGCCTCCGTAATCTTCACACACGCATCCAGCAGCTCGTTCACCATCCCCTTCAACTTGTCATCCTTCAGCTTCTCAGCCAACACCTCCTCCAACGTGTCATACTTGTCCTTGGCCACCGCATCAGTGTAGAATGATGTGTGGCTGGCACCATAAGCATCATCATCCGCTTTCCTCTGCTGCTTTCCAGCGCGGCGCATGGAAGCTACTCCACAAGCACCCAGTGCGGCCACTGCAGCAGTGGCACCGAAGCTGCCGGAAGTGTTGCCTGCGGCGCTGGTCCCTGTGGCACGGTGCGGGGCACCCCTCAACTGAGAATCACGAGTTGCAGGTGTGGGAGCCACGAAGGCCCAAGTGCCGGCCACTGCAGCGCTGCCCAGAAGAAGCTTAGACATCTGAGGCATGATGAAATGATGCCGGTGCAAAAGCTAAGGTGCTTGGATAGGAGCTGAGAGCCGAAAATGTTTCTGAAACTGCACCTTTAGCCGTTGACCATGTAGGACCTATAGCCTATAGGCACGAATGGAACCCCTTGGGTGCAAAAAAGTTCACAGTGACTAACATTCCGAGTGAGGCTTGGCATGCGGTCTCTCCTCGAAGCGCACGAGTACCACTGTCATGTTGTCACACCCCAAGCCTCTCCAGCAAGGAATGCCACAAAAAGTTTTCTTACTTTGCTACATCACGTCTTGGATATAAATGTGAAAGTTGCAAAAGCAAGTCCATTTCCATCTCACGAGCAAACGAGAGATGTGCGGCCTCCTCGCTGACAGGGCGTGTTTGCACAGCAGGAGTCCAAGAGCCTACACCATCTACACACGTTGGCTGTGGCAAACTGCAAATTTCAGAAGACGCTTGCCAAGGCACTCTTGGAGAACTGGGACAAGACCCTTCTTGGATCCTCCAGCCCGAAGGAACTTTTGCGTTAATTCTTCCAAAATTGCCGCTTTAATGCCAAAAATGTGATTTCGGTCCTGGTGGAGGAAGTCTGGAGCGAACAAAGTTTACTGCCTGCTGGTCCTCCATGCACTCCCACACCTCACAAGTCATAAGGTCTAGCACTGTCAACATCAAATGATCATCACCTACTCTATTCCCCCATGTGGGCTCCTGGGTGTCCAACTCCATCGCTGGCCAGGAGAACGAACTCATCGGCTCCAACCTGCCATGAAAGCTTCCGGATGTCCGGCACCGCTGAGACCAGCCTCAAATGCCAGAAGATACAGCTTCGAGACGAGGGCTGTATGTGGGCTCGGGGGAAAAGAATGCCAGAACACAAAAGATACGGGAAATGTGAAGGTATGGAAGTACACCTAGCGTGTCTGACCGCTCTAAGTGCCAACACGGAATGAGAAAAGCGAGTTGCGTCTTTTTTACGTGCCAGCATGAGGTGCTCAAGGGGCCCCTGGTGGGCCACATGTAAACCGAGCAGCGGTGGCGAACATGTATCGCACATGCCAAAAGCTCATTGGGCGGCGCCCAATCCACACCGGTGGTTGCGACAGAAGTTCAGCTTCATCATCTCCCGCTGTCTGCAGAAGGCGCAGTTATCGAACTGCTTCATGGAGCCTGGATCCGCGCCGGAGGGTCCCTGGCAGTCAGGGTAGATGTGGTACTTCCCTCCAGTGCGCGTGGTGTAGATGGTCCTGGCGATGGGACGGCGGTCCAGCTCGAACTTGATGGCTTCCAGCTTCTCGTGCGCCACCTGCCACTTCATTCTCACATCTTTGTACTTGCCGTCCAGCTCCCCGATGTCTCCTGACAAGGAGTCTCTCATCAAGGTCAGGTCGTCCACTTCTTTCTCCAATTCATTGTCGTCTCCCTCCAGCGCGTCGAGCTTGTCCTTGAGCTCGGCGTTGTAGGCATCTGAATCACGAAGGTCTTGTTGTAGCCTTGCGATCTCCATCTTGAGGAGGCCTTCTTTTCAGAGGTCTCGGCCTGTATGCCGTAATCTCTTGTGGTGGAGGTCTCTGTTGTCATAGTCATAGTCCATGTCTCTGTTGTCGTCCTCATAGTTGTTGAAGTCCTCGTTGATGTTCCCCTCCACATGTTCCATCTGACCAAGGTCACCAGGAGGATGAAGAGAGTGGGGTCATCTCTGGCGAAACGGCGACGTCCACCTCGAAGCTGGGCTGAAATCCTCGCAGAGGATCGTGTATGCCAGGCTACGCCGATTCCCCGATCGGCTGATCGCACGCTTGCGAGCATTTGCCTGCCGCTCAGCCAAAGTCTTCTTCTTGGTGGCCTGGGTCATGTCTGACCGAGGGGAGATTTGGTGACTCCTCAAACGGTCGGCGAACAGCTGCCTTGCTGAGGATTTGGTGACTCCGTCAGCGACTTGGATCTCGGAGCTGACCCAGCGCAGCTTGGTGTCCATGCAAACCGTTTTCTGCTTTGTGACCATGACCTCAATCTTCGTCCTCTTGTCTCCTTGAGACTTGGTGTCTCTGCCTTGAGGCTGTCGTAGAGAGCCTTTGCGTCCACCACCAAGGCTGAAGACAATGAAAGCTTCAGTTCATTGACCTGTCGGAGCTGGAAGTCATGCTTCAAGCATCCTTCCCAGAAGATGAGGAGGTACTCCAAGGCGTCCATGGCTGCCGAGCAGGCTTGACTCTCAGCGTTCAGGGAGGATCTGCTGATGGAAGTTTGAAGCTCCTCCAGTAGAAGATGAGATAGTCGTGGTCGGAGGTGTCCTGGCCTTGTTGCGAACAAAACCAAGCAGCCCCCTCGGCCCTCACCGTTTCGCCTCACCCCCCATGCTGCGTCGCTCATGGCCACCATACACAGGTTGTCCAGCGAACCACCCGGTGATCTAAAAATCAGACCTGCATCGTTGTTGTTCTTTGCAAAACGCAAGGTCTTGTTCGCCTGTTGGGCAACGCCCGCTGTGGATGTGGTGACTTCTCCACATAGAAGCAACACCGAAGCGCATAGGTGTGGCAACGTCTGCGTCGCTGGCCATTGAAGTGCCCCAAACAGCGCTCGGAGTGAGCTCTGCTCTCGAGAGGTGAGATCTCGCTCGAGGTCGTTGTCGGCACAGGTCATCGGCTTGATGCCTTTGAGATAGTCTGTTTGAGTCGTGACCGACTCTGTGGCTGTTCTTGCGAGTTGACAGCCGCAGAACTCCAGAGATCTTTCTCCTTCTTTGGTCCGGTGCTGTAGGCGAAGAAGCTGAGCCACAACCAAAAAGATCATCGACATGCCGACCATGGCTGTCACTGGTCCAAAGGATGGGACTGGAATCCCAATTGCAATAGGCGGTGTCTCGCCACTGCAAACCACTGCCTTGGAGCATCAGCCTGTCCGTAGAGGGGCTTGATCAGCCTCATGAGGGTGCTGGGTGGAACGCCGATGAGCTCGCAGGCGTCCTTTGGTATCCGGGCCCATTTGACCCTTTGTTGGGGATCACCCTGGAGAAATGCCGTTGCAACGTCGGCGGTCCATCGTTCCCATGATCAACGCCTGACAAAACTCCTTGACAAAGTGTGCGATGAAGTGTCGAGTTGACCTTGCAATAGGTCGGGATCAGAAAATCCCTGAAGGACCAGCCTGGCTTTGGCCTTGAGGCCACCTTTCCCATCAGCTGCCCATTTAAGAACGAAGCGAGCGCGCATGACTCTGTTGTGATCCACAGACTGTGGATCGAGCTCTATCTCCCAAACTCCATTCTCAAAGATGCTGGAGAGCTCGTTCTTCTTGCCTTCGAGAAAGGCGAGGCGGTCGTCCAGAGTCATTCGATTTTCATTGAGGTCTGCGCTCTTCTTCTTGGGGCCGGCTGCACCGACTGCCTGCCAGATGTGTCCACGGCCACGGAGCGTCTTGCAGCGACTGAACTTGTCAGAGAGGTCGCCGATGTAGTATAGTCCAGTCTTCTCGGCGCCAGGTAGCTGTGAGAGGGTAGAGAGTCTTCCCCGTCCACGCTTCGCTGAAGTGCTGCTGCTCGCTGGAGTTGACATACTGCAGATGGTCCGTGAGCCTTGTTGAAGAGTCAGGCCAGTGGTTGTTTGTAGAAGAGAGGTCTCGATCGGGAAGGTCTCAGGTTGAAGTTCTTCCCCACACATGGCTCCTGACCACGAATCAGGAAGTGCAGGTTGTTGATCTGCAATGGCCATAGGAGTCTGAAGGTGAGGTGGTTCACCCATTGGCTTCTCAAATTCATCATCATCCAGCTCGGGTAGTTCTGGACGTCGCTCATCTCCAGCTGCGGTTCCAGCGGCTCTGTAGCAGAGGCTTCAGGAGGTTCTGTTTCCGGAGGCTCTGCTGCGCTCTTGACTGAATTGCCTCCTGCGTTGAGCGGTCAAAGGCTGGTTGAACTCCGTCAGGTAGAGCAGGTGAGGACATAGTCGGTGGAGCGGGATGATCAGGAATTGAAGGCTCATAGTCACTGACTTCAGGGCCAACTTCATCAATCGAGCGTTTGTTGGCCTTTCGCAGATCCACAATGCGAACTGCTCTCCTTTGCCGCAAACCTGATGGTGCCAGTGTCAGGGTTGCGTGCAACTGCAACTACCACTGCAGGTCCTCGCCAGCGGATGGTGTGGGCCTTGTCGGCTGCTCACGCCAGTAGTAGCATCGCTGACGTGGGAGAAGCTCCTCATCCTTGCCAGTGACGCGTTGTAGCTTGACGTCGATCTCTGCCTTGCCACAAGCACTTTGCGCAGAGAACTTGAGGTTCAGTTTGCGATGCAACTTCTCTTGCTCGGTCAACTGGAGCTGCAGTGGACTTGTTCGTTCATCAGTCAACAGTCCAGGAAGTGCAGGTTCGACCAAGAGCAAGCTGAGTGGGTGTGAAGCCATTGACAAAGCTGTTGCTGTTGAGGGCTGGTACAACCCAGGGGTAAAGCGCTATGCACACCATCTAGGCCAGTGAGGTTATTCTCCATCATGAAGATTGAGACTGCTTTGCGCACAATCTGGCGCCTTCTCTCCACTATTGAGGTCCTGGTGTGTGCTTGGCCAGGTGAGATGCGAGTTGGACTCGCACCATTGCATCGTGGAGTCTGAGGCCCAACCAGTGCCTTCATCCACATAGAGCTGCTTTGGTGGTCCATGATGTTGACTCAGGCTCTTTCCAACCCTTTCTGCAAGAAAGGACCTTTCTCGTCGGTGATGGTGCGAGCTGCCATGAATCGGGCGGCGACATCAACCATGACCAAGACTGCAATTTGGCGGGTCTTGTGAAGTCTTGTGCTTCTTGTGACCGGGCTCAAGCACCATGCCAACTTCGTCCAAGTCAAGCTAGCAGCTAGAGGACGTCGGCTTGTAACTGGGCATTGAACTCTGTAGGTCGATCAAGGTGTCCTGGTGCGTTGCCCTTTTTCACAGCATGCACCTCACAGAAAGGGCATTCCAGATCTTGAACTGCTGCCAGCACCTGTGGGCAACAGTTTCTGCTCCTCAAGGTGTTGAGCAGAACTTCTTTTCGAGGGTGTCCGAGGTTGGGATGAAGGCGCTGAGCGATCCGAGCTGCCTCATGCCCATGGGTGGAAGCCAACTTGCGAAGAGCTCCTGTGAGCGGTGCTGCATCTTCAGAAACTAACTGCATATACTTGTTCATGAAGTCCTTCGTCAAGTAGAAGGGGCTCGAGCCAGATGGGCTGCCATTTCATCCTGGTAGTTCTCGGCTCGGTGACATCGGCTGCGACCTTCAAGTCGTTGATGTTGGTGTGGGCCATCGCATCTCTGGGACATGGTCTCGAACATTGCCCATTTGGTGGTGTTTATGCGGGGTGGTCTTCAGGATCGGCTGTTCGACGCCGTTGTCGTCTGGGATGGTTGCACCGTAGGCGCATTGATCGAAGATCGCTTTGTGTCCAGGCAGGTTCTTGAACTGCTTGGTCTCCCAGGCCAGGCTGAGGCGTGGATGCTCGATGTGTGCGTGAGCTCCTCGACGGACTTGTTTCATATTGCACATCGTCAGGTGGGTTTCAGCGTCAACCTCGCGCCGTTCAGCCAAGTCAGCGGCCTGTTCGGCATTGGAGACAATGATCTGCTGCGTCCTTGACCAGAGGGTGCACTTAGGGGACATGAAGATCTCGTCCGGCTCCAGGTCGTCGGCTAGTCATGCGCGAAGCTTTACTGAAGTCCCAGCCATCTTGTAGACCAAATCTCATGACTTCAACATCACCATGTGATCTTGCCCTCACCGGCAAAGACCTCCCAAATCAGCTTGCGACGACGGTGTTGTCCTCGGTCGCAGGCATGGAGGATCTCTTGTTGGACATGTTTCTCTGTCTCCTGCGGTTGGGATTCGATCCAGGACATAGTTTTCTGAAGCTGCTCGATGGTCTTGCGAGCTTCGCCGGGAAGGAGTGGTCGTTGTTCATCATCATCCTCATCGACCGCGACTCATGGTCGTGGCGCGAGAAGTAGGTCTTGACCTCGGTGGTCATCTCGAAGTATCGCTCGTGAGCGTTGAGGTCATCGAGGAAGTCGTGCATAGTCGCGCCATTGGCGTGATCGTCCTCGCAGCGAAAGTCAAAGACGGGCTCATCAAAATCCTGAGGGTTGTTGACCCCAGCTGCCAGGCGAAGAAGCATGGCGCCTTGTCGGCCGCGAGGAATGTCACGCCATTCTTGATGGAGTAGTCTGAAGTGCCTCCAGGAGAGGACGGCCGAAGAGCATGGGCGTGGCCCCATAGATGATATAGGTTTGGATGCGTCGTGGGCGATCGGAGATCTTGACAGGAAGCTCGACCATCCAGCGTGAGTGTCCAGAGGCATCGCCGCCGGACTTGAAGGACTTGTCACATCTCTTGAAGATGAGCTTGTCCATGGGATAGCCAATCATCTCGAGCCACTTGAAGTAGCGAAGGGCATTGGCATACTCAGAGCCAATCAGGAAGGAGCTTGCACCTTGGTCTTGAATGCAGGCTTGGGCAACTAGTGGTGCTGCTTGACCTTTTCCATCAACAACAGCCACCACTGGGTAGGCTCCTCGGCTCTTTTCGCCACCACTGGGTAGAATCCTCGGCTCTGTCGAAGTTGGTTGAGCCTCTGTTTGGCATCAGCGTAGGTGGAGTAGATCTCATCGAACTCGTCGGTGTCATAGATGTTCTCGGTGTCCTCGATGGTGTCCTCATAGAAGGTTCCGTCAGGGAGTTCGGGCTCAAACCATTCTTCAGGTTCCTGGTTGTCATACTCATCCTCCACGTCCTGGTGATCTGCTGGTAGTCCTGTCCGACCAACAGGAAAAGGGATTGCTCCACAGCGGCCAAGGTGAGGATGACCCGATCTGGGTCTGCACCATTTGCTCCTGCTCGCGAGTCAAGCCTGCTCGCTTGAGCATCATCCATCCTGTTACCTTGTCTGGGAGGTCGACCTTGTGCTTGGTCACTTGGCGCAGCACCTGGTGGAATTCGGCGGTGTATTCCAGAAGGGTCTGGTGCTGACGACGCTTGAGCTTAAAGAAGAAGGCGCCCAAGTTGTTCGGCATCTCCACCTTGCCATCGAAGGACCATTGTTTGTCCAGGCGCTTCAACAAAATGTCGAGGCCGGTCTTGGACTCCAGCTCCTTGAGATCCAGGTCTTGGTCGATAGCACGTTGAGTGCTGCCTCGGTCTTGCAACCTTGAATCTCCAGCTTCCGGGCATAGAGAAGGACCCTGCGCCGCCATTCCTTGTAGGAGGTCGTAGTGTTCTCGAAGCACGGCACATAGTTGTCCTTGATGTCTCGGCTACCGCCGGTGCAATTTGCCAGTCCAGAAGAAGCAGCCGCAAAGGATGGGCTTTCCCTCCGCGAGGCGATCTGCCGGAGGCCATGGGCGCATGCGGGAGCCGTCACTTTGGACGGCTCCGCTACCAATGTGAAGGATGGAAGTATACCTAGCGTGTCTGACCGCTCTGAGTGCCAACATGGAATGAGAAAAGCGAGTTGCGTCTCTTTCACGCCAGCATGAGGTGCTCAAGGGGCCCCTGGTGGGCCACATGTGAACCGAGCAGCTGTGCCGAACATGTATCGCACATGCCAAAAGCTCATTGGGCGGCGCCCAATCCACAGGAAATGTATACAGTTATTTCAAAAAATGCAAAATAGCATGTTGAACTATACAGTGACCGAAGTAAGAACCCCTATTAACTATAATGTACGGCAATGTTGGCATAAAAACAATATCATGACTGCCGAGCCGCTGCTCTGAAGCTTTCAGTTTCACATTGCTCTTGTAGCGAAGGTCACCTTGGCACCCGACCCGAACGACAAGCAGCTGACACAATCGAGGTCACATCGACAATTCGACAATGCTCCACCAAGCGACCCAGTGCACGGGAAAGATTCAAACCCCTGAGC